CAGGAAGAGAAGGAAGGTATAGAGAGACGAGAAACTAAGTAATGAAGAAAGACAAAAAGGGAAAAAGAGGGAAAAGAAAACAAAACAAATTTTAAAAAAAAAAAAAAGAGGAACAAGAAAAGCCCCCCAGAAAAAGGAAAGAAAAAAAAACCCTACGAAAAAAGAAATGCTCTCAGGGATCCCTCTGCACGTCTGCACAAACTGAGGTGTGGGTCCCAAGCTGTGTAGCACTGCCCGGCCAGAATGGGCTCCCAAGTCGAGAAACAGAAAAGAAAACAAACAAACAATTCAAAACAAACAAACAAACAAAAGCCCTGGGATCCCACCAGCGTGGCAGCCCAGACTGGGAGGCAGTTCCACACTCAAGCGGAGCTCCGCAGCCCCTTAGGAAGAAGCAAAGGTGGCATCCAGAGCCAGGTATTTGAGTGAAAGGAGGGGAAGGTGATGAGAGGTAAGGAAGAAATCAAAAGAAGCAGAAAAAACCACCACCAGCAGCCAACAAATGACACTCAGGGAGCTGGCTAGTGGGGGCGGGTGGAATCCAAGCAGCCGACGCTTCCCGGCCAAGAGACTGTGGCCACAGGAAGCAGAGGAGGCCAAGTAGGGGTGAAGGAGGGTGGAGGGTGGGAGCATACATCACAAATTACTGGTTGTTTTGTCTCCTTCTGGAAGCTCCATGAAGCTGCTTTCTCGTACCCCCATTTGCTACTCTCTGATAGTAGTCCAAGATGGTGGATCTGTGCTGTGTTAGCTGATAGGGGACCTCTACATGAATCTCTCCTCGCTTTTCATTCTCTGTCAGTTTTCTCACTCCATTTGGTGCTTGGCTGAGTTCTTTATCTCTTCATTTGATGTTTTAGGGTTTCAGGATTGCTGTTTTCTCTGTTTGGCTTAGTTTTTCAGGTCTCTGCTGTTGAGGGACAGCGTGGTGCTTCTGCCTAGAGTGCCATTTTGCTGGAAGTCCCCAAGGCAGACATTTTTTACTAGTTAAGCTAAACTATTGGTTAGTTTCAAGAAAACTTCAGGGGATATTTTTGGTTTAAGGTTTAAAGATTATCTCAGGGAAATAGTTTCACAGGTTCGTCCAGCTTTCACAGCTACAGAATGTCTGGAGTCCATGAGAATTTGAAATTCTGTTCTGTATTTTCTCTCCTTTTGCTCTGGATTCTGCTATAGATTCCTTGATCAAAATGTTCAGTTATGGGCACCATCCAGTTCTTCTGGTTTCATGGCAAAGGAGGCAGTTGTTCATGGCGGCAATTAGCCACACATTCCATGTCCTCCTCCTAATCCTGACTCTCCTTCTTCCTCTGTTGCTCCATACTAATAGAAACCAATAGAACTATCTATATGGAATCAGATAGAACTATCTATATGGGATCAAACTGACAACAGCAACTGGAAAGATTAAAAAGGAGCTGGGAGGGGGGGTGGGGGATGGTCAGTGAGTTTATGTTAATGAGGAAGGAACAACTCAGAAAAGGAGGATGAGAATAGTTGCAGAACTTGAAGAATGTAATCAGTGTCAATGAATTGTACATGTAGAAACTGTTGAATTGGTGTATGTTTTGCTGTGTATGTTTTCAACAACTACAAAATAAATAAAATAAAAAAAATAGTACCTTATGAATAAGTCATTTTTTGCCTCTGCCTGTATAATTTTGTGACAGATTTCTACAACTGAGATTGTTCATGTGAATGTACATGTAACTTTGCTAAGCTCCCTTTGTTGGGGTTGTAATCACTTCGTATTCTAACCAATGATGTATGAGAGCTTCTATTTCACTATAGCTTAAGCAACCTAGTATGTTGTCAAACTTCTGATTTTCATTAATTGATAGGTGAGAGATGTTATCTTGGTATGGATTGAACTTTCATTTCTCTTAATATGAGTGATATAAGGATACTGGGTTTTGAAATAGGAAAAAAGTAAGCAAGGCCCCGGGATGACCAAGAGCCTGAGCATGCACCCAACTATTTCCTACCTACATCAAAAAGGAGTTTCTGGGTGGTGCAAATGGTTAATACACTCGGCTCCTAACCAAAAGGTTGGAAGTTCAAGTCCAACCACAGGTACCTGGAAAGAAAAGCCTGGTGATTTACTTCCAAAAACAAATTAACCATTAAAAACCCTGTAGAGCACAATTCTACTCTGACACACATGGGGGTCGCTGTAAGTTGAATCAATTTGATGGCAGCAGGTTTGTTTTATTATGTCAAAAAGCATCCTTACACCAAGCTTGGTACCCAATTTCCTTTTCCAACGCTTATAATTCTGTCCTCAACTGCTATATAATTCCTCGGGAATTAAGTAGTGACTTGCCCAAGGCCACACAAGTAACAAGTAGATAAACTTGGATTTGAAAGCATATCTCTCTGATATCAGGTTCCCTGCTTAGTGTAACTCCATTACACCAACAGCAGAACAGTGGGGTTTCCAAGGAAGAACACAGATCTGCTACAAGGAAGTTCCCTGGAAGACACAGCCCAAGAGTGGAAGGACCGTTAGCAGGCAGAAGACCAAGATGAAATAACTCTCCAGGCAGTGGCTTCACTAGGGTTGGTGTCACCCAGTGCCGTAACTCATAGAATCACCCGCCTGGGGTGAGTAGGGGCAGGTAGCAAACCTTCCCACCCCACACCACCACACCGCAAGGCAGAGCCAAGCTCTGTGCTGCTTGGCCCCCGCCCCTCCCGGCCCTGCAGTCCCATGACTCCCCGCGCTCCTCCTCGTCTCATTCCTCCCTCCTCCCCTCTCATTAACCAAGGCGGAGACCCTGACTGGTGGGTGAGGTGGGGGGTGGTTACAAGTTACTGCCCTGAGTGAGGGCCGACACCATCTCTAGTGATGCCAGCGCCTTGACGGCTTCTCACCCCGCAACACTGGTCTGCCCGCTGCTGCCACCACCGTGGACCATGGGGTTATTTTGTTGTCAGCCCCTCTGACAGTGTCTGGTCAAGACTACCCACAGCTCTTGGTAAGGAGAAGTAAGGATGAGTCGTGAGCACACGATTCTGTGTTTACAGACACGTACTTGAGATACATAGTGATTCCCACAGATATTTGGTGAGGCAACTGAATAAGGAGAGAAATTCACATATACGGTAGTTTATACGGATTGGTATTGTGTGCTGGTAATTGTGAGAGTTAAGTAAATGCAATCCAGTTAAAAACTTGGATTATAGGTTTGCTTGCATGGCTTGTTCTATCTGAAATTAGCATATGTCCGGTGGTTTGGTTGCACAAAGAGGCTTTGGGAATTACTCTCAGGGCTAACTCTCACTCTCAGAAAACGCAAGCCATGTCATTACCTACCTTCCCCAAGGGTATCAGCTGATCAAGATGGAAAAGTTTCAGCAGATTAAAAAAAAAAAAAGATTTTCTCATCAGCATTAGGTGTCCCTTGGTCTAAAGGGGGTAAAGTGTCTCTGGCTGGATAGATTTTTTTGATCTTTATTTATTTATGGGAACACATCACTTCTGTCCCCCAGGATGGGAACTTCATAGGACCTGAGGGTTTCCAAATCCAAGCCCAATACCCTCTTTTCTTCCACCTACTAAGAAACATCCCTGCACTAAGTTTGCGTACCCAGATATCCCTCCCACTTGTACCAGTCCCTCCCACAAAAGGCACAATGTCTGAGAATGTTAAAAACGGCCTTTGTCCTCTAGTGGCTAGGAGCCTTAGCCATGGAATGGATCCGCCCTCCCTGATGGTGTCCAACTGATTTCTCTTCCCGTTGATGTCTTCCATTTTTCATGTAATTTGACTCATGGAAGTTCCATCCTTTCAATTTTCCCATTATGTCTGGGCATATCTGAATTCATTCGGCATCCGAATACTTTTTGAGCACCTGTTCTGGGCTAAGCATGGTTAATCATTGGCAGCTCCAGCAGAAAAATGGGCACCTGTTACGGCATAGGCAGTGGTGCTCTCTCTGGAGGGGACTCCAGCAGCCAGAGAAGGCAAAGCCTAGCAATATAGAGTGATACACAAGGCTGCAGCCCAATTCTGGGCAGCTTAACCTTAGCATTGCAACCCCAGCCATTGAACATTACTGATTCCACTACGGTCTCACTTCTGTGAGTCAAAGAAGCTTACACTTGAGCCGTTTACATACTGAAATGGTCACTTCATCAACCCCGCCCTTCTCATTTCCTGAAGCTGGCTGAGTCTCACGGAGAAACCTCATCTCACTCCCACTGGCCAAAGAAGGAAGACATATTTCCACAGGCTCCATCAGGCCAGCTGCCTCCACTTCCCTCTTCAGAGGTGGCCCTTGACTTGGGGCTTGATTTCAGACTGACAAGGCAGCCTGGGATACAAGGGGGCTCTCCATGGATCTGCCTTATTACCATGGCCCCCTTTCCAAGAGAGACTGCGAGACCTTGCTGCTCAAGGAAGAAGTGGATGGCAACTTTCTGCTGAGGGACAGCGAGTCGGTGCCAGGAGCTCTGTGCCTCTGTGTCTCGTGAGTAACCTCACAGTCCATACATTTGAAACCTTATATCAAATGTAGTAATGGCAACTAAATATCAAAGGACTTGTATTTCATTCTGATTTTGCAACCCAAGTGAGTCCAGTGAGGACTGGGAGAGAATGGAAGGAAGGCATCTGTCCATGCTCTTCCATCTGCCCTCTTTCTCCGTGGTGTAAATGCCACCCAAGCGGACCCCCTGTAGCAGCTAAAGTGGGGGTGGGTTGAAGGGGAGGGCTGCAGGAAGCGTGGGAGGTGAGGAGGAGGAGAGAGACGGTAGAAATGTGAGAAAGGTCCTCTTCAGAAGTCTATTTATTTGGTATGGAAAAGGCTAGGAGCCCTTTTGAGATTTCAATCTAGGAGACCAAGTTTTTACGTGTATTCTGCTGCCTCCACTTGCAATACTTAAAATACTAGCAATATTTCACATTTTTATTTAGATTAGTAAAGGGCTTTGACAAATGTCATTTCCTTGTATACTTCTTGAAGTCTATCAAGACAGGCATAAGCAGTCACCATTTTGTAGGTAACGAGACAGAGACCTGGATTTCTCAAATGACTTGCTCATGTTAAAACTCATCTGGTATTTCCAAAAAGTCTGAACTGAGTAAGAAGTTCCAGGCCAGGGTATCAGAGCTACCTTGCTGAAGGAACTTGCTTATGCTTGGTTTAAAAAGCAATCCCAAACAGTTATCAGTAGAAACCTCCTATCTTAGCGTATTCTTTTCTTTGTAGAGCCCACTGATGGCTTTTCTCCTATCTGTTAAAAGAATTAAAACCCATGTGTCTCCATGGGAGCTATTCAAAGGAAAGTGATTGTCATTACTGATGGACGGCAATGAGTTTTTGGGTTTCTCCTCACTTATCGCTATCTTGTTATCCAACATTTCGCATCTATGACAATAGTAAAAAATCTACTATCTGACTATTTTACCCATTAATGACATATATTGGGTAGTCATGAATTTGAAAGTGTGAGGCAAGAATAACACTGGCTTTTACGGTTAAGGTTATGTGTCAGCATGGCTGGGTCATGATTCTCAGTGGTTTGGCAGTTATGTAATGACGTAATTTGGCAGTTATGTAATGATGTAGTCTTTCTCCATTTTGTGAGCTGATGTGGTCATCCTCCATTTTCGCATAACACTGACTTCACATAACAACCTGGTCTTTAGAACCTAACCATGTCAATAAGAGAGGAGAGGGTGTAATAACAAATAGGAGCCAGTAGCCCATTAAAGGAGAAAACACACTATGATCAAGTGTGGTCCAATCCATCAAAGATTAATTGATTCCATATTAGGAAAATTATGCATTTAATTAAGGTGCCCCAGTGGCACAGTGGTTAAAGCACTTGGCGGCTAACTGAAAAGTCAGTGGTTTGAACTCCCCAGCTGCTCCATGGGAGAAGTACGTGGCAATCTGCTTCTGTAAAGATATACAGCCTTGGAAACCCTGTGGGGCAGTTCTACTATGTCCTATAGTGTCATTATGAGTCAGAATCAACTCGACAGCAGTGGGTCAGGTCAAGTCATGCATTTGATTAATTTGAATTATTTATTATTAACTTAATTGATTAAACATATTGACATTAATAGGTCAATAGTTACAAATGATACGACTCACTCAAATTTGCTTAAAAGGTATTAGATATAATTCAGCATCCACCCCTCAATTAAAAACACACACACACACACACACACACACACACACACACGCACCTATGTATGCACATATGCACAGACACTACACACTCCTACAATAGAGAGCTAGGTGGATACTTTGTATAGGCCAGCTGAAGCACTAGAAGAATTCCCATTAAAGTCATGAATGAGACAATGATGCTCGTTATAAACACTACTATGGAATATTTCCAGGGACATACTAGCAAGTGCAATCAGCCAAATGAAATTAATAAGGTGGAAACATTGAAAAGGAAGATGCAAAGTTATTATTATTTGAAGTTGACATGATTTTATACCTGTGAAATCCAAGGTTTAACTGGGTAAAAAAAAAAAAAAACTGCCAGAAGCTTTAAGAAAATGCGGGGGGAAAGATGGGGCCATCTGCTTCCATAAAGATTACAGCTTTGGTAACTCTATGGGGAAGTTCCACTCTGTCCTATAGGGTCACTATGAATCAGAATCGACTCAACGGCAATGGGTAAATTTTTACATATAAAATTAAAATTAAAAAATAGCTTTTGTACATAAAAACATAAGTAGTAAGAAAATATAATAAAACATCCTATTTACATTAGCAAAAATAACAATACGCAGGAATACATGTAATATGACCTGTGCAAGACTAATTTAAATATCTGCTGGGAAGCTTACAAAAGGCTTGAATGAATGGAAGGACTCAAGTTTGGAAGCATGTCAGTTCACCTAAAATTAGTCTATAAATTCATTATGTTTCCAGTAAAGAAACAACAGATTTTTTAAAAATTTGCTGCAAGGACAGTAAAGTTGACCTAGATTAGGAATAGAACACAGAACCTTCTGGAATAGCCATAGATTCTTTAATTAAAAAAAGAGGGACTAGCTCTAACAAAGATTAAAATATTAATACAGTATAGTAATTACTACAGAAATTGAAATAGTTTGGTACTGACAGAGCAATAGAAAAGAATGTAGAATCTTTCTACTTTGGTGAGTAGTGTCTGGGGTTTTAAAGCCTGTGAGTGGCCATCTAAGATACTCCGCTGGTCTCACCCCTTCAGGAGGAAGGAAGAATGAAGAAAACTAAAGATACAAGGGAAATATTAATCTAAAGGACTAATGGACCACATCTACCATGGCCTCCACCAGACTGAGTCCAGTACAACTAGATGGTGCCCAACTGACTGCTCTGACCGGGATCACAATAGAGGGTCTCGGACAGAGCTGGAGAAAAATGTAGAACAAAATTCTAACTCACAAAAAAAGACCAGACTTACTGGCCTGACAGTGACTGGAGAAACCCCAAAGTATGGCCCCCAGACACCCTTTTAGCTCAGTAATAAGGTCACTCCTGAGGTTCACCCTTCAGCCAAAGATTAGACAGCCCCATAAAACAAAATGAGACTAAAGGGACACAACATCCCAGAAGCAAGAACTAGAAGGCAGGAGGGGACAGGAAAGCTGATAATAGGGAACCCAAGGTTGAGAAGGGAGAGTGCTGACATGTCATGGGATTGTTAACCAATGTCATAAAACAGTATGTGTACTAACTGTTTAATGAGAAACTAGTTTGTTCTGTAAACCTTCATCTAAAGTACAATAAAAAAAAAAAAAAGAATCGAACGTAGAATCGAGAAACAAGGTCAAGTACACATGGAATTTAGCATATGCTAAAAAGAGCATTTCAAATCAATGAGGAAAAGATGCATGACAACTAATGCTGTTTGGACACTTTGCTAGTCACTTAGAAAAAAGTAAACCTAAATCCCTTAAAATGAAATTAATTCAAAATGGTTCTAATGCTTAGCTTATTTTTAAAAAAATGAAATCATGCATATTAAAAGAAAACACAAATGATTAAAAAATAGTCCTGGAATTGAGAAGGCCTTTCTAAGCGAAAAAAAAAAAAAAAGACCCAGAAACCGTAAAAGAAAGGAATGATAAATGTGACCGTAGTAAAAAAAAAAATGTTAAAAACAACTTAAAAGACTATTGACAAACAAAAACAATAATTTTATCAACATATAAAAAGCTTTTAAAAATCTATAGAAAAATGAGAAAGCATACAAGCAGGAGATTCTCAGAAGAAGATATGAAAAAAATGGTAGAGCTCACTCATAATTAAAGAAATACAAATTAAAAGAATATTAAAAAAAAAAACAACCATTGTCTTAGAGTCGATTCTGATTCATAATGACCGTAGAGGACAGAGTAGAACTGCCCCAGAGGGTTTCCAAGGACTGACTGACTGGTGGATTTGAACTGCCAACATTTTGTTTAGCAGTCAAGCTCTTAACCACTTTGCTACCAGGCCCCTAAGAATAGCAAGATGCCATTTTTTGCCTATTCAATGGACAAGAATCAAAACTGTGAAAATATCAAGAGAAATTAGAGCGCTGGGAGGCAGACACTCTTGCACACTCTGACACAGCGTCTTTGAATCATAAAATAAAATAAAAAAACCAAACTCATTGCCATCGAGTCAATTTCGACTCATGGCCACCCTATAGGACAAAGTAGAACAGTCGTGAAGCAGCTGATGGGTTCAAACTCCCAACCTTTAGGTTGGCAGCTCAACAATTAACCATTGAACCACCAGGGCTTCTTTGAATGGTAGTGTGGCCAAAATATAAAATGCATGGATATAACCTTTGACTGAAAATTTCACTAATCAAAATTTATCTTATAGTTATTTCTGCACAAGTGTGTGCAAATTGGAAATAGTCTAAATAGTTCATAAGAGAACACCCATATAGTCAGTGGAATACTATCCATGCAAAAACAAAGTTGGGTTATTCCACACATGATACAAAAAAACCTTCATGATCTATTGCTGGGTGAAAAAGGCAGGGTACAAAGTACGATCCTATTTGAGTAAAAAAAAAAAAAAAAGCCTATATCTTTGTCTATTCATATGAAACTTCTAGAAGATATATAACCAACCAGTTGCCATCTGAATTCCAACTCATGACAACCCCATGTATGTCAGAGTAGAATTAGGGTTTTCAGTGACTGATTTTTTGGAAGTAAATTGCTAAGCCTTTCTTCCGAGACTCCCAGAGGTAGACTCAAATCTCCAACCTTTTGAGTTGGGAGAAGGGTTGTGGATTCTTTCTTTTTATCTGATAACTTCTTTGCACTGTTTAAATATTTCACATGTGCATATATTTTTATAATTTAAAAAATGTTTATAAACATGTAGTGAATCCTTACAATATACCAAAGCACTGTGCTAGGGTCTGGGGAAATTCTAAGGAGATTCAAATAGGTAATTTCCAATTTTCTTCAGAGATCTGAAACACGTAAATAAATAAAAACAAGGTATAAAATGAA